AGTAGACTGTTAAATAGCAATAGATAACCAAAACAATCTTTTTCATTAAATTAGGATCTGTTTTCATTTAATGTAATTAGTGATATATTTGGGTTTAAATCTATCATTTGATGAAGTACTTTCTATTTGTCTTACCTGTTGTATGTCCTCATATTTTTCCTATTTTGCGTTTAGACTGATTACTTTTTTTTTTTTTTAAAGATTTTATTATTTGAGGGAGAGCGAGAGGAAGAGTGAGCTCATGTGGGTAGAAGGGCAAGGGGAGAGAATCTCAAGCAAATTCTGTGCGGAGCATGGAAACTGACACAGGGTTCCATCTCAGGAATCTGAGATCATGATCTGAGCCAAAATCAAGTTGGATACTTAACCAACTGAGCCACCCAGGCACCTCTAGATTGATTACTTTTGATTACTCCATTCCTTTTTTCCCCCTTACAGATTGGAAATTGCATAGTGTGATGGTTAATTTTATGTGTCCACTTGGCTATACCACAGAGTCCAGATATTTGTTCAAACATTATTCTAGACATTTCTGTGGAGGTGCTTTTGGATGAAATGTATAGTTTAATTGGTGGACTTTGCGTAAAGCAGATGACCCTCCATAATGTGAGTGGGCCTAATTCAATCAGTTGAAGGTCTTAATAGAAGAAAGACTTCCTGAGCAAGAAATAATTCTACCAGCAGACGGCCTTTGATCTTGAATTACAACTCTTCCCTGGGTAAACCTGCCAGCCTATCCTACAGATTTTGAACTTACCACACCTTCACAACCACTTGAGCCAATTCCTTAAAAAAAATCTCTGTGTGTGTGTGTGTGTGTGTGTGTGTGTGTGTGTCCCTGTTAGTTCTATTCCTCTGGAAAACCTTAACTAATAACCGTAGCCTTGGGGCAACTGGGTGGCTCAGTCAGTTAAGCATCTGACTAGCAGTTTCAGCTTAGGTCATGATCTCAGGGTTGTGAGAACAAGCCCTGTGTCTGGCTCCCTGCTCAGCTCAGAATCTGCTTGAGATTCTCTCCCTCTCCTGCTGCCTCTTCCTCCACTTGCTCTCTCTTTCTCTCTCTCTCTCTCAGAAAAAAAAAACAAAAAACAAACAAAAAAAACAAAAAAACAAAACCTTTTTGTTTTTGTTCTGTCTTTTACTATTCTCATAGTGATTTTTTTTTTTTTTAAGATTTTATTTACCTGAGAGAGTGAATGAGAGAAAGCATGAGCAGGAGGAGAGGCAGAGGGAGAGGGAGAAGCAGACTCCGCACTGACTTCCCCCAGCAGGGAACTGGATGCTGGGCTGGATCCCAGGACCACAGGATCATGACCTGAGCTGAAGGCAGATGCTAAACTGATTGAGCCACCCAGGCACACCTCTCTTAGTGATTATTTTAGAGATTATAAAATGCATTCTTGACTTATCAGAGTGTACTATTAATTGCAACTTTTTTTCCGTCCTCTTAGACAATAAATAGATTTTAGAACACTTGATTCCATTTACTTTCTCCTAACTTATATACCATTGTTGTATATTTTTAAATATGAAAGACATTGCTATTATTGGGTTATATACTCACTACCAATATTCATTTATATATATATTCATTTATATTTATATACTCACTACCAATATTCATTTATATTAATGATTCAAGATCATTTTAACTGATCTTAATTGTCTCAAGTTTCTTTGACATTATTACAACTGGGATCATTTTCCTTCTGCCTAAAGAATGCTAGTGGGAATCTGCTGGTGACAAACACTGTATTTAATTTTTTTGAAAATTTCTTAATTTCTCTTTCATTCTTAAACATTTGCTTTCAGTCTTTTAAAGTTATTATGCCATCATTTTCTGGCTTCAGACTATTCTATTAAAAAGTCAGTTTTAAGTCCAACTATTGTTTCTTTAAAAATCAAATTCTATTTTTTTCTAACTCTTCTACTACTATTTTTCTCTTTGTCTTTGGGTTTTACCATTTTTTTCATGATCTAGCTATGTGTCAACTGTATGGATTAAAAAATATGTATGTATATATCCTGCTGGGGATTTATTAATTCAAATATTATTTCTGTCCAATGTTTCCAGAATTCCAACTATGTGCATATTAAACTTTATCACTATATCTTTATGCGCTTTCCCTGTGCTCTGTATTTTCCACCCTTTTTCCTATGCTTCATTCTGGACAGTTTCTTCTCACTTATCCTCTAGTTCACAAATTCTATCTTCATCTGTGTCTAATATGCTGTTACACCCAACACTGAGTCATTTTCATTAGTGAATTCTTTGGTCCTAAAATTTTCATGATTCTTTTTTTTCAAATTTCTAGTTATCTGCCTAAATTTTTAACCTCATGTTTTCTTTATTTATACATAGAAAGCATTGTTATTTTCAAATCTGTGTCTAATAATTTCACAATCTGAATCCCTTTTGCTCTGTTTTTGTTCTTTGTAGTTTCGGTTGGTTCTTTTGCTTGTTTCTTTGGGTGACATTATTTTTCACTGCGTACTAGACATAGTTTTTGCAAAACTGTACAAATGATTTGAGGCCTAGAATATTACTTTACTTCAGAGAAAACTTCCCTTTGCTTCTGCCAAAGGCTTGGGGGCATTAGGCTAAAGGAATTCCCCTAATCCAATCTCAGGGTTGAGATGATATGAAACTAAGATGTCACTCCTTTACTTCTAGGATATAACCATTCGGATTTCTTGTCCAAAGCAAGGGGGCTTCAACCAAGTCATCCTCCTTCTCCCTTTGCACATCCTGTGCTCTAATCACTAACCCCTATTCCTGTTCAGCAACCTTCTATGGAATGGATAAGTGGATTCTCTGGGTTTCCATCAACCCTCAAATTATGGACTGTAATTTCTATCTTGTTAGCTCTCTAATACCTGATTTTTTTTTAATACCTGATTTTTAAAATTGTTAAGGTTTTTTAGTATCCTTAGTAGGAGAATTGGTCTAAATTACTGCCAATAACAGGGCCTATGGAAATATAGGTATTATGAAGTACTCTTAGGAAATATTATCTTAGGAAATTATCTTAGGAATTTATCTTAGGAAATTTATCTTAGGAATTTATCTTAGGAAATTATCTTAGGAAATATAGGTATTATGAAGTACTCTTAGGTAGTTACTCTTAGGAAAGACACTGAAAAAGATCCTCAAAGGAAAAAAAATTTAGACTCTCATTCACAATTCTAACTTTTTAGCCCAACTGGCATACCAGTACTTAGGATCGTTATTATCTTAGTCCTGGTATCTTGTAATTTGAGAAAAGTTACTTCTTTTATCAACGTATATTATTCACCATCACCTTTGTCCTGAAAACTGTTCCAAGAAATTAAACTGTAAGAATGAAAAAGATATGGTCATTGACCTCAAGGGGCTTGAAGCCTACATTTCCGTATTGGCAAACTGGTTGTTTTTAGAATCACCAAGCTATGATCAAAGAGTCTTTGTTAAATATACGCAATAGAGTGATAAATACGTTGAACTGAAAACATGTATATTTGCATTCCTATCACTTTTCAGCCTAAATACAAAGGCATTTCAAACAATATATTTTCTAACACATTTGTCTTCCGGTAAAGTTTATGAGTGAATATGTTCCTTTAAAGTATTTTGGAGAATGAAGAATACAAACTTCACAAGAGATCTTAAATGCCAGGATCCTCTTTTTCCTAAAGAGTTTAGCTCTGTTTTCAGGCTTTTTACTCTTGTAAACTCCTGGGGAAAGCTACTCACTCTGAATCATCATTAGTTTTAATCAGAGCTTTTCCTTGATAGGCGTTCAAAGTCCTCTAAAATAGCCTTTAAGTATACAAGTGTCCCTGGACTCTAAACTAAGTGTGACAGATTTCCTAAGAGACCTCAGCCTTATTCACAGAGATTATTTAAATGTTCCCAGCCTCTCTACTCAGTAGAGAGGCCCAGCAGAGAGATCTTAGTGGATGCTAATGCAGTACATTCATTATTTGACCTTGGACAAGTTACGTGACTGTTCTGGATTTGTCTTTGCATCCATAATAAACTGGGCTCCTAGATGACCTATCTTTAAAGTATATATTCATTCCAGATTTCAAATTCTGGGATTCTTCTAGAGTTGAGGAGGACTGTTTGGTGACCTGAGTTTAAAACTGATTAGAAGGAAAAATAGAAATTAAAGTTCAATATATCAAATACTATTACAGTAACCTGTAGGGAGAGGAAGTCCTATATTATACTAGTGATCACCATGGCCACTAGAGATAAAGCAAGATCAAGGTAGGAAGAGGCTGTGGCTCTTCACAAGCCACCTCCTGTCAGTCTTCCTTTCTCTCTAGCGTGTTTGTGGTAAAAAAAAAAAAAAAAGAAAATTAACTACTATATTCTAGTAGTTCTGAAAACTAGTAATTCTACTATATTCTTCCTCTAGGAACGTCCTTCAACTTGTCCACATGAGGGGGTAACAGTGATTGCTCTGAAGGGAGAAAATGAAGCAACTCTTGTTTTAATTGAAGCTTACTGTATCTTTGCCTGGTGGCCTCTTACTCCAAATGCAGTCATGAGGACTTTCAGGACGGTGTAATGAGAAATAAATGGAACTAGTAGCTGATTTTGGACAAATCATATAGACACAACATTTTCCTCCGTGGAATGAGGGCTGAACACTTCCATTTTTGTTTTTATACATTCTGATGCCAAGAATTCTTCTATGTCTCTGTCATCCCCACAGCTTGACTTGTTTTATTGTCAGTAGGCAGCTCGTTTCATAATCAGCTCACTTTATACTCATGGCCTGGCACACAGTAAATATTCAGTTAACATTCACTGTTCGGGAAGAAAGTGAGCCTCCTATGACACCAGCCACGATGCAAGTCTCTTTCACATACCTTTTCTCTCCATCCATTCAGCACATTAGTGACAGGGATCATTACTCTAGTTTTTGAAGATGTGGATAATATAGATACTCAGAAATTTAGTGATCAGAATCATAATTTTTGTAAAATAGAGCCTTAGTTCTGCCACTTACCTTGTATTTGTCAGGTTAATTTCCTAAGCCTCGGTTTCCTTATCTGTAAAGTGGGAATTTGTAAGAGTTAGGGTAGGGTTTGCAGATTTAGCAAAAAAGAAAAAAAAAAAAACAGGCAGTGTATCTCCAAATGGAACATTCTTATATTAAAAAAAATATTCTACGTTTACCTGAAAAAAAAATTTTTTTACCTGAAATTCTGATATAATTGGACACTCCTGTGTTTTATCATGGTTATTACAATGCACGTAAAGAATTTAGCTCGGTCCCTAGCACTTAGTGAGGCCTCAGGAAATGCGATGCTTATTAAATTTTGGGTCTGATTCCAAAGTCTTTTTTTTTTTTTTTTTTTTTACCACAAACACGCTAAGCTCAGTTTCCACTTAAAATTTCAGTCAAGCGAGTGCAATATGAAGTTCACATTCACGCTTTACCGTTTCGACAGCGCTCTCAAAGCCTGGGCAATGGCGGAAAGCTCCCGGGGAGCCCCACAGGAGCTCGGGCTGTCGAGGGGCTCCGCCGCAGTCCCCGCGCCAGGACGCGCCGGCCGCGCCGCCGGGGAGGCCGCCCTAGCCCCGCCCCCGGGCCTCCCCGGCCACTCAGCGGCCGCGCCGCGCCCCGCCGCGCTCCTATAGGCCCTTCCGGGACAGGCGAGGCCTTTCCATTTTTCCCGCCTTCCCGGCCTCTCCTCAGCCCGAACCCGGCCCGGGCCCACACAGCGCCTCCGCCCTGCCTTCCGTGCGAACCCCGCCCTTCCGGACACCGCATCTCCCTTCCTTCCTCACCAGCCGTCCGGAGCCGCCTGCGAGGTCCCGGGCCGGCCCTTAGGTAGGAGGTGGGCGGGGACACCGAGGGGCGGACCGAGCCCCCTCCCGAGGGGCCGCGGGGGGCGGGGACCGCGGGGGAGGGGCGGGGCTAAGCTCCTCGGCGCCGCGTTGCCATGGCAGCGGGGGAGGGTGCCGGGAGGGGGAGGAAGCGAGCGGGAGGGGGATGTGGTGCTGCCGCGGCCGCCACCGCAGCTGCCGCTGCCTGCTCTTTGCCGCGTCTTCCCGGAGGCGGCTGCTGGAAGCCGCCGGGAGCAGCTGCGGGGCTCTGCCATATTGTGTCCTCCCCTGCCCGTCCCTCGCCTCCCCGCCGCGGCGGCCGAGCAGACGGTGAGTCCCGTGCGGAGTGGCGCCCTGCTGGGCCGGCGCCGCCGGGCGTCCGCGCTCCCCGCCCCGGCCCGCGCCGCGGCTCCCGGGGCGGAGGCAGCGCGTGCGGCCGGCGCCCGGCGTGGGGCGCGGAGGCGGCTGTCCCGTGACGCGCCCGGACATTTTTGTCCTGTGAGGAACTGGCGCCGGCGCGGGGCGGGGCGGGGAGGGGAGGGGGGCGCGCTGTCCCCTGCGCGCGGCTTGGGTCCCGTGTGGGCTCCGGGCGTGGGGGGGCGGCCCCGCGAGGAGTTAGGAGTTGTTGGTGAGCGGCAGGGACTGCCCGGGAGCGGGTGCCGGCGGCCCGGCGAGGCTCCGCTCGGGGCCAGGCTGCAGTTGGAGGCAGTGCCCGGAGCCCCTCGGGAGCGTGTGCGGCGCCCCCGCCCCCACCTCCACCTCCACCTCCACCTCCACCGCCGAGCGGAGCGCGACGTGCCGGGCGTGGAGGGCGGCCCGGCTGGGCCCGGCCGAGGCGCGCCCGCGGAGGCGCCGGACGGGCGCTGCGCGCAGGCAACTTGCAGCCCCCCGGGCTGCGGGGCCGCGGGGCTCGGGGCACAGGGGCGGGTCCCGGATGTGGGGGGGCGCCCGGCCCCCGGCCCCTCCCCCTCCCCCTCCCCCCGCGGGCGGCCGTCGGGGCGGGCGGGGGGAGTTAGGGTTTTTCTGCGCTGCAGGACGGCCACTTCCTGTTCGCCGCCGCTGGGGCCCGTGTGGGTACCTCTGCCCTTCGGTCTTCTGTCTGGGGCGAGGTGAGAGGGCGTGGGGGCGTGTGCGAGGCCCTCCGCCCGCGGAGTTGGCCTCGCCGCAGCCGCAGCCGCGAGTCTGAAACCCCGGCGGCCGGTGGGAGGCAGGGGAAAGCCGCCCGAGTGCGCGCTCCTCCACCCTCCACCTCCACCCTCCACGCTCCACGCTCCAGCAGCTCCACCTTTGCAAAATGCCTCTGTTCCCACCTCCGGTCGCTGGAGTGAGCGTAGCGACTTCAGTGGGGGGTGCACTCTCGGGCTCTTCTTGGACCCGATTTCTGCTTGAAAGTCTCTCTACAGCAGCCTCTGTACTTTACCTTACAGGAAAGGGGGGAAAAAAAAAAGTCTTAGCGTGCAGAGAAACGGCACAGTGCCTCTTCTGCCGCGACTCCGGGGCGGAGGAGGCGGCCAGTCACTGGTTTCCAGGTTAGTTAGTGCGGTTTCTCCTGTCTTCCTTCTGGTTGTGACAGCCACGTGGCCGGCCGAGTGTGAGAGTTGCCCTAGCGCCACTCGGTCTGAGGCTTCCTGGGTACCAGGGGTTTGTAATCGTGCTGTAGCCTTGCATCCACACTTATTTTGGTGTTTTCTGAGATGAGGAAGTGGAAAAAACTGAACTTGTTCATGTCTGTCTCTGTTCCCTCCGCATTTGTTTCCTTGCTGTCCTTGTATATATGGACGTTTTTTGCCTTCCTCCGCTGTTTTGATGATTCATCCCTAAAATCTCAGCAGTGTTAGGTATCATTAAAGAGTGGTGGGGGAAGACAGTAGTACATTATGAAGTTCCTCAACTCTGGGGGAAAAAAAAAAGCCGTTTGTATTTCAGAAGCATCAGTGAGAGGTTCTAACGCAAGAAGAAATCATCACGTTCTGGAGCATTTCTTTTCTTTTCTTTTCTTTTTTTTTTTTTTTTGAGTATTATAGAAGTCTTATTTTTTTCTTCTTCCATAAAAATTGTGACCTGAGAAGATATGACTGAAAATACTTGTTGAGGGATGAAATAAATACTTGTTTGGTTAAAATAAAAAAAAAAAAGTTTGGTTTGTGTGCACTTTCTTAAACTCATTTTTGGGAAAGTATTCATGTTTAATGTGACTGTTAACATGAACAGATTTTATTTTAAGGAATGAAATTTAATTTTGAGCATACATGAAAGCAAAGAGTCAAAGGGTTGAAGATTTTTTAAAAATCCAAGCTTTTGGAGAGCTTGGAAAATTTTAGAATTTAGGTGTAATCTCTGCATACTAATGCATGTTTCATTTTGTAAATGCTTTGGTGGATTTGAATTATTTCTGTAACATTTTTTTTTTAATCCGTTTTACTTGGAGGGTGCTAAACCACAGGAAACATTTAGAATGTTTGAAACAATTATGTAGAGAAGTTAATAGCAGCACCGTTTATTAGAATTTAGTTATGCCATAACAACAGTTCTCAATCAATGAAGTTAATAGATAAAAAGATTTGGAGAGGCTTCATTACAGAAAAGATAATGGGATTGAGAAATGAGTGTATGTGCTGGCCACTAAGAGCAATGCTTAGTTGCTTAGTTGAGAAAGAAAAGTAAATAAGGTGATGAAATACTTATATAAAGCAGGAAGCACTGAAAACATATGCTGTAAGGTAACGGCATTATTAGTTATGGGATCCAACTATCAAATGAAACTTTAAAAAGTGCCATCCAAACAGGACTTACTCTTGTTTTTATGGTAGTTTAGCTACTCAGAGGATGTATTGTGTGTTGCTTTTTAGATTGTTGTCATTTTGGTAACTGGGTTTTGCGCAAATGCAAGAAGTCCTCCAAAAATAAAGTTTTGAGGGTCCAATCTTTGCTGATTTCTTAGGGAAGAAACAGAGGTCTACGATTTGAATCCCTATTCTTTGGTTGAAGAGACTAGATTAACATCCATGAAAATAAGAATTTATACTGTGAGAGGATATAGTTAGGAGTTAAATTGTATAATTCAGGGGGGTGCTGTAAGGCTTAAAAGAAGGAATCTAGAGTTTTGATTAGATAGGGGAGGCTTCATTCTTTCTCAAGTCTAACCATGTTACTCCTATTAGATTAATCTTCCTGAAAATTATATCACTCTTATGTCAAACATGAATTGTATCATCCTTTATGTCAAGCATGAATACCAAATTTCTTCTCAGGACTTTTCAAACTTTCGTCCCTGTCTTCTCCCGTTTTACCATCCACTAACCTTCAGGAACTGTTCTTTATTTACTACTTCGATGTTGTATAACTATTTACTTCTTACCTTTGCTGGTGTAGTATTTTTCTGTTGGAAATGCACCTGCTCACGTCCTCTTAACCCCTGAAGAAGTACTCGGGCTTGAGTCTTGGCTGCCCTGAGAGCCTTAGAATCATAGAGTTTTAGACCTGCCTTCACCTGTCCAACTGAAAATTCTTTACCTTCTCAAATATCATGTAATTCTTTTGGCTGTAGCATTCTGTACTGCCATGTTTTCACTTAATAAATACTTTCTGAGCACTTCTATGAGGCAGGCACTGTTACGGGAACTGAGGATAAGCTTTGAATGAAACAAATGCCTGTGTTCTTCATTAGTCATCTTTTTAGGTTTGATCACCCCAAGAAGATTATGAAGTATTTGACCACCCAGAAGAATCTTATTTTCTTGTGTATATGTGATGTGCTTAGTGAGTATTTAATTTTTTTCTGAATAAAAGAAAGGCAGGACTTACAAGGCAGAAAGATGGGTGGAAGGATCTTTACAAGTGAAGAGTACAAAAGCATAACCAATTATGGATGGTCTTGAAAGTATCACTTCTGAATTTAAATATGGTTTAGCACCCCAAAAAAGATGTCATTTGAGCCTGGGAATATGAAAATCCTTATTTGAAGAAGGCTCTTTGATAGCAGTATGTAGTACTAGTTATTAACTGTGGGGATGGAGAGGCATGGGAAGGGGAGAAATCTATTGAAGAAAAAATTAGTAACTATGAAAGGGAGGTTTGGAGGAGGAACATCATCAAGAAGATGGTGAATTTAGTTAGTTGAGTGTAAGGTGAGCTGGAGGTAGTAAGGGGAATATAGCTTTTAACTGACTAAAGATTAGAAATGTGGGATGGTCCATTCAATATAGAAGTGACAGCTAACGTTACGAATTTATGTTGTAGTGTGAAATGAAATGTTGAGGACTAAGAATGATACTTTAGAGAAACTAAAATTGAGAGGGCGTTTGCTTTGGTCATATGTAATTTCATATTTAATACTATAGACTAATACATGCCTACAGTATTGTTTTTATTAATAATTTTATTTCCACTATCCACTATAGAAGTATGCTATCTTTGTCTTATCACCAAACATAGACCAAAAGAATGTTTATCAACATTTGCTTCCAGAGGATTTTGATTCATTCCTTATTTTCCTTACTCTGTTTTTTTTATTTAAATAAGTTTTTTTAGATTAGTTTTACATTTACAGAAAAGTTGCAAGATAGTATACCTTACTCAGTTTTAATTTCATTTTCGTTGTTAACTTCTTATTTTACTATGGTACATTTGTCATAACTAAGGGAACAAAATTGCTATCTACGATAGTGACACACACAAAGAGAGAGAGAGAGGCAGAGACACAGGCAGAGGGAGAAGCA